TATATATTCTATATATCATACGCATATATAATTGTTCTTTTCTATAAATTTTTTTTTGTGATCGTTAATGACTAGTAAGTCGTGGCGAAATTAAAGAAATAAATCAAAAAGAAATGTTTATTATGTCCACTGTACATTCATCTGAAACATCTACCTTACAGCCGTATAGCATAAAGCTTATATCTTGAACAATCCTCCCATTTGTTTCTAAAACTAAATCCATCACAGTTCGCAATGGCGATTCCCTAAAATGTCCCCAATATCAGAAGACCTCGTATAAAATAACTACATCTCTTCTCCATTCAGTGTTTGTCAACTGTGTCAAAAGTTACTCATCCTATAATTTTTCAGAAAATCATATTTTTCCAGCCGGTAAACGTCGCCTAGGAAAAGCTGCACGTGTGTTTTCACGTTTTTCCACAAACGGAAAATGTAACTGTTATCTAAGTCAATACCGATTTCGGACAAAACACAGGTGGATACGCGTGCTATATAAATGTGGCGGCACGTACAGGATATCGTACACAGAGATGGTGCGTCGGCAGCGGGGAGGGTGTGGAACATCGAAGCGATTTATTAAATATTGTACCAGTGAGCATTGTTATGACGCGGCTGTGCAAATATTATTTTGCATGTACGGCAATCAATGTTATCCGGAACTGCTATTTTGTATATGTATCTTTCTCCTTTCCCGTAACTGGTAACGAAATTTTTATTAGACCAACTTCGAACTGCTTTCGCAAAGATTTCAGTCTGAAGCGTAGAGCGACGGAGGAAAAAAATAGATACACCTAAACGTGTAACAGAGAAATGGGAAGTATAGTCGGTGGAACCGACACAGCGAAGTCAGGTGTCGAAGTATAGGTAATCTGAGCGGCAAAACAGCAATTCGAGAAACGTACAATAGCGTAATTCGTATCTTAGAAAATTGTTGAAAATATCAAATTAGAGATTGTTAATATTTTTAATCTCGTAACCAATTTTACTTTTTTTTTTTTGCAATAAATCGTAGTATTGTTAGGTTTGTAAAAGAGTCTGTGATATTTGATAAATAATTACTTTTACAAACATCGAGCATAAATACGGTGGACATTTGTATCGGGGCTAAATAAATGCGTGGCTTATGTGTATTCAATACTACCACTTTTTCAAAAGCAGAGGTTCATATTTAAAAAAATTAATTTTACGCCTTCCCGTTATTCTTTCAATTAAATTCGTGTGCCTCATAAATGTAGGATACACAAGGTCAAAGTGCATAAACATAAATAATGTATTTATTTAGATGGAAACGTTTATTCCACTTTGAACTGTAAGTATTCCATTTTAAATAATTTATACACAAGTCTCCAATCAGTAAAACATTTTTCAACTGATTAACTCATTTCTAATGTTCTACGTTTAAAATTAATTAGCCACTCGAAGTCACTTTTTCAGTTACAGATAATGTCACAAATGGTCACTCTGATCCTGACAGTTAGCTGTTACCTACCAGGTATGTTAAATCTATAGCATTGTATTTTCCAGCTTCAAAATAAAAGGTAAGACAGAGCACACTGCAGGAGAAAGGCTACAAAAGTGATTAGGGCACCAAATATATTTCTCAAAGGCTTCCAGTGTCCACCTTATTTTGTGATAAAGGGCAGTCCCTTTTTCTCTCAGTCCCTATATTTACAATCATAATATGTGATGCACATAAATGTGTCACGCGGTCTCTTTCAATTCCGTCGCGTGGTCCACAAAATATTCGTAATCATATAGAAAAGTTGATTTAAAAATACAGTAGACCCCCGTATAACGTGGTATATAAGTGTACATGTTCACCGTGTAGCAGTTCCCGTAATTGATGGTACATTATCTTATACGGCAAATTGTTTTAAGGTGCATATACCGTGGCAAGGTTTATCGCTGTAATAATGAAATATAGGACTATCACACTTCAGCCGAAACTATCGGTAGAATGAAAATTATAAAACAAGCGTCAATAAAGGTGTAACTGCTTCTTTTACTTCGAGTAAAATATTTCGTGACAAAACATTTCTAATTTTAATACCTGTTTGTTTCAAAGTGAAATAAAAAATATTTGACTGTTACATTTTAAATATTTATTTGACATTTTGTATAATAAACCCTTACATCTTTTGTAAATATATGTTTCCAAATACATACATACGTGATCCATATTTGTATAACCTACGTCACTCGTATAACATGGATTCATTTGTCGGCTGTACCTGTATTTCCGATCAAGCTCTATGTTGTATGGGTATAAGTAAGAATAAAATGTTATATAAACGTAAGTCATTTTGAGCTAAATTAAAAAGTTATAACAATAATACGAAATACAAAAGGAATGGTAACAGTTGTGTGGTTAAGATACAAAATAGGCATAGATCAGTGATCTATACACATAGTCTTTTTATGCAAGCTGTGTTTGCGATTTGAGAACGTTAAAAGTGTCAAATCTAATTTCTATCAGCACCATTCTTGTCTTGTATCATAGTAATCGCAACATCGTTACCATTCCCTTCGTATTACTGTTTTAACTTTCTAACAAACCTTCAAACGTCATACGTTCATATAACATTTCTTCCTAACTTAGGCCCATAAAGCACACTTTCTCTGCAAAGTTTGATCAGAAAAAAACTGGGACACCCTGTATAATAACATAAAACGTACTCCCGTGTTACACAGGAGTCTAACGTACTAAGAATTTGGCTTCCTTTTCAGAACTAGCTTCTAAACGTTGTTAGTGCTACAAGTAGCTTTATTTATTGTCGTTGCAAATACGTTAGAAAAACAGCCACTTTAAGGGTGACTGTTCACTTTTTGCCTCCACATGTGAAAAATTGCATACCAAGGAAAGAACTGTCGTTGCTGCTTCTTCTCGTTATAAAATTGTCTAAAAAACATGATGTTCGACTCACCGATGAGTTGCCCCTCGGACGGTCCGTGCAAGTTCTCCTGTCCGTCTAGTAACAACGATGACGAGGATGATGGGGGTGTCGAGGGCAGTGGGGTCCACTGCTAGTGAACCCACGAGGGAGGTGCTGCAGGAGTCGTCGCGTTGGTGCTCACGTAAACTCCTGCGGGCGCGTTTCCAGCCGTCGTCCCGACCACGTTGGTTTGGGATACGGCGCCGTTCTGACCGCCGTTGCTGTCGCTCACTTGGATCGCGGCCATGCCCATCACGCCTTGCTGAAAGTTGAAGTCCAGTGTTCCGTCCATCGACAGCTCATGCTTGATCACCTGGAATTGCGTTCGTTGCTTCGTGAATTTTTGTCCGACGGGTCGGAGCGAATGTTGACAGAATAATACGCGTGCGACGAATGAAAAAGGTCGGAACGGAGTGTACGAAATATAATTTGCTTAATGGATCATGTTGTATGTAATAATTGACCTGCGTTCATATTCATTTGTATTTCTACTTTCCGAAGTAGTGTGATCGACTAAATTATAAATTCATTTTGATACTTTAATTTGATACTTTAACAACCCGCACGATTACGCAACGGGGAAATTTTACTTTTTCTGAAAATTTGATGTTTACTCACGTGTCCACTAACATTTACTCGTACAAATATTTATTTAGGAAATTATTACATCTATAGGTTTTGTCGACGACTGATTTTAACCTCGATTAATATATATCTCTGTGTCGGTTAAATAAACGATATTTATATTTCGTTAGAGAAGTCGAAAATCATCTACTACATGATATTTATCGAAGTAAATGAGGAAGAATTTATGAAATATCTCGTGAATTATTTAGTTCTTGTATACCTAATTCGTACGATACCAATCATACTAATGCACGAAAATGGAGAAATGCAGGATATATAACGCCATTTAATGTTTCCTTTCGACATTCGTTCTATTTTTAACCAATGCGAAGATATATGCAACTCTAACCAGAACAAAAAAAGACATACAGCATAATACTTTATAATTAACTCTTTCGTGACCGAATTATTTTTTTAACTAGTTTGCTATTTATACGTCGATCGTTGTGTCTATAATGCATATTAAATTGAGATCAATTTTTATTCCAATATTCAAGTGGGACATATGCGTCCCACTGGTCATCAAAGGATTAATCAGCACAAATATCAAGAAAAATTGTTATTCTATCGCTAGTTATATACACAGTACAAAACTACTAACAGAATTATTTTTAAATCCCCATTCACCTACCGATAATAAACAAACGTAAATAGTTCAACTCACCTCATCCACGTTGCAGTCAAATCCACCGTGCAAGGATTCAATGTTAATGTTCAAATCATCCAGAAGTGTAGAATTATTAAGGGCTCCCATCAATTGTCCCATCATTGTGCTTGGTGTGGGTGTTTGTGGTGGACTGGTGTTTCCTGTTCCTGTTTGAGGTTGTTGTTGCTGTTGCTGTTGTTGTTGCTGTTGTTGTTGCTGTTGCTGCTGTTGTTGTGTCTGTTGACACTGTTGTGTTTGCATCATGTACTGAAGCGTTTGCTGCTGGCTACTTCCTAGACCCGTGGGACTTGGTTCGCTCTGTTTATAGGACGGTGACATTCCAGCCACCGGACTCAAGTTCTGACATTTTATATGAGAAAGAGGGATAATGATTGTAGGTGAACTGATTCAATTATTCGTTGAGTATATTGGCAAGTAGGTATACAAAGGCTGGCAAGAAGTGAAATTTGAACAAAGTAACTAAAAAGGGGAGAAACATGTAAACATTTTTATCCAAGAAATCAAACATTCTGTTTTTAGTGATTTAATTTATAATTTATATTTGTAAAATATTTTATCCGTTTTGTTAGTTCTTGGAAATTGTATTAGGTGTACAAATTAATTCGGTACCCCCTATCCAAATGTCTTGAAGACTTTATCGACTGAAAAATGCCACACCTTTTCTAAGAAGGAATTCGTCAATTGCCCAATAAATGGGAAAAATTCATTTCAAATAACGGAGATCATTTTGAACATTCAAACTGTGTTCAATTTCTTTGTAAATAAACTCTGAAGTTTGCGAAAGAAGGCACCGAATTAATTTAGTACACCTAATAGAGATTAAAAGGACGGATTGAAGTCGAATTTGTAATCAAATTAAGTTCAATTAAACGGCAGGTAACGTAAACGGTGGTAAGTTAATCAAATTTTTAGAAAACCATGAGAGGTGCCGTTGCAAATTAATTCCGTGACGATCGTGGTACCGCATTTAGATTCTCACGTTTTCTCAAAAGCAAGGAAGGAAAACAAGTAGGTTCGAACAATTATAATCTATAATCGGAAAAAAAAACGGATCACTTCTGATTGTAACGTATCTACCCGAGAAATATCCACGAAGCTAAAGCTATTCGTAGTATTCACAAAGTGTACACGTGAAAAATAATTCTCGTGGATCCTCTTTTGCTCTGAACACACGAAAAACAGTTCGGTATATTTGGAACATCTTGAATGACCATCCAACAAAGGCTTCCAGAAAAATAAGAAGAATCCATGTTTGTCCCTATTGTCGAGTGCGTAATTTGTGGCGAACGATATACTTCTCGAAACAATTGACGAAAAATCTTTAAACATGGCTAATCCAGACTTTCACTCTTTTACGGGAAAAGAAACCCTGTTAAAGGCTTTGCCACACTTTGTTCCCTTTCAGCAGCCAAGTGCTACACGCAGCTTGCCATTCGTCCTTTCTTTGTCCACTCACCATTCGACAGGCGCATGGCTGCAGTCCGTGAATCAGGCATCTTTGCTGATTGGCTGATTGGGGAGACGGCTGAAGAGCAAAGGAGGACGATCCGGTCGAGAGACTATTGCTCCTCTGATATTGGGTCTCGTAATAAGGTGGTGGCCCAGTCTGTTGCTGATGACTCGGCGGTGACGTCTGATACATTTGATATGACTCCAGTTTCATCATTTCCGCCAGGTTACCGGCTACATTCATGTTCAGTGAAAAGAATGTGTATGTTAACTGAATTGCTATATAGTACTGTTCAACGCAGTTCTTTTCATGCTATGCTGTACTTTCAGAGCTTTGTTTCTAGGCAACATTGTAATGTAACGTAGTACACCAAACCAGTGGCCACAAGTTTTTTTTTCCCCCTCTTTAACGATATTTTCCGATTTACGATCCTTACTTTTCGTCATTTATTTCCTTGAGAGTGAAAACATATTTTACAGAATTTGAAAAGGGTCCTCAAAGGTTGGGGCAAAGGTGAAATGTAACTTTTAATTGTCATATGTCGTCTCGTCTTCATATTTTGACATTTTATAGACTCGTGGAAATGCACTTTTAACTTTCAAATACGTTTACCGTATTTTCACATTATCAAACGTTCGAATCGATTCACTATTTTCTACTACCTTCATTCCTGATAAATATTTCATTCGCATGTTCTATTCTAAGAAATTTTAGTCCATCAACTTGTAAGGTGGATATGACGAACTTCATCTTTAAATTTTATATTGTTTACTCTGATATTCTTTTTAATAGAAATACCTGTAGTCAACTATATCTTTTACGATTGGCAATCTGTTAATTAATTCTTAGTACATTGTGCCTTGTCAATAATATACCAGGGACAATTGTGAATTCGTAATTATTTTAGAAAAATTCAACTGTAAAATCGTGTTAGAAATAACAGACTATTACGTTTTTATAGCTTTAACTCTCTTTTCTTTTAAATGCATGATATCCCATTACGTATGTATAACGTTGCTTAAGCGAACCATTCAGTTGATAAAATAGAATAACGTAAACAGGGGAAGAAAGTATGACACATCGTAGTGTTTATATTGATGTGTGTCTGAAATTATTGAGGTCGAAATGAAAAAAGTCTTCCTACACATCGTTACACTTATTTAACGTTGTATAATAACCAAACAATATTTGTTAGTTTATTTACAAACATAACATTTATTATTAGTACCGAGAAAAATAACTTACATTAATTTGTCAATAATTAAACAAGGAAATATAAGTATAAACGAATATTTTCCATTATGGAAAAGATATTTTGAGTAATGTCCTTTGTACTTACTTGTAAACAAGAAACTAACTTGTATTTGCCTTTAGAGCCTCGTTTCTGTATACATATTTTGCTAAATTCTCAGATGCTCTATGGAAATTTTTGTTACATTATTCTTTTTCCTTCGTTTCATTTTCAACAAATGAATGCAAATCATTCTTCTTTGTACTAATAGAAAATGTTACGGTTCTAAACAAAATAACGTAAATATTATTTATATACTACCTTCTCTGTTTTAAATTATGCAACACTAAATAAATTCTAACGACAGGTGTACGGAGACATCTTTAACCGAGTGGAGCTAACAGCATTTTCAATCTAAAAATAGTACTTGAAATAAATCGAAAACTAAATCAGACCCCATAAAAAAAAAATACAATTGTATTTCACATTTGTTCAATATGCGTTATTTTAGCTCGACTTTTTCGACTCGAGTCACCGAAAAAGCAAGCGACGCGGTTCATTAAAAAAAAAAACCTACAGTGAAAACTTGTGGCCTCTGATTCGATATCATAACAAAAAGCACAGTTTATTAGCGTTTTAACTGAAATTACGATATCGACTATAAATATTGTAACTATAATTCATAAGATAGCGTTCAGCTGTCCGCTTCGCGTACCAAACTTTCGAAATTTCAGTCATGCTGCCTGTGTATTAAGAATGCGGTGCAATAGAGAAGAGAAAAATACGAGAAAACAGTGAACGTTGATAAGAAAAAAAATAAAGAAAAGAGAAACGTATATGAAATCGTTGTGCGTACCTAATTGTTCGGTACTGTAAGGGGGTGTATAAGTTGGTGTCCATTCCGGTTTCCCAGGGATCGCCGGGATTGGACTTAATCGACCACAGGATGATGAATTGCTCGGAGTTCGAGGACTCGAATAAAAAATAGTTCAAATTGTATTTTAAATGTGCAGATTGAAGTACAAACTAAAGACGAGGGAGAGACAACGCATAATACATTCTAATAATTCAGCGGCGTACTCTGCGCGACTGTTCGTAAAAACGTAAGCGGGGGAGTGGTGCATTATCCATACGATTAGTATAAAAGCGTCTATAAAAAGTATTCTTGTACCTTTTGCTAATATTAGTGCGCGCAATTGAAGCTGATACATTTTACTGTTTGCTATACTATCAGAACATATGTATACATATATGGATACACGTGTATTTATATGTAACGTCGAGCAATTTTGAAATGCTCGCTAATTCCAAAAAAGAAAAATATGTAGAATTAACATTAAATTTTGCATTATATCGCTATGTACTATATTAAATTCGATATTTTCAAAGATAGAAGTAATTGAAGCAAATATAAGAGATAAAAGTGCATTTGCCCTTCAACTGAATTACCTTTTGGTAGAAATTCGTAACTCGAATAGTAATGATATCGTTGATAGTTAAATAGCAATCTGAGAATGTAACGTATAGTAATCATTTAGTAACGCATTCAACTTTGCACAGGATTCTTTAATATTAGATATTGCTATATATTGGAAATCTGAATTCTGCGAAAAATTATTTTAAGATTTACTAGCAACTGACTTATTTCGTTTGATTTAAACCTTCAAATATTCCTTTCTCCTGATTAACTTGAGTAATCGGAACAGTTCTAGTTTTATTACAGAATGACTGTTCGTGTTATTTTTTCAAAATTTTTACTGTCACAGTAATAAGACAGTTATCTACTCCTTCTATTCTTTAAAATACAACGTAAAATATTTAATTTGGAAGCAATCAGAAGTGAATGATTGTGTTACATAATCTGTATTAATTAGTGTTCGTTTAAAATATTTGACAAGAAAACACAGTAAATATTAGGTTACGTACCGTGTATTTTAATTGAATTTATTTAGGTTATATTTTCGATTAGATTAAATATAACGAAATAGTTAAATGTCGCAATAACAAATTGTGAAATAATGGTTTCAAAAATTATTCTTTTTGTTGAAGTTGCCATGGGAATATGTCATAAAAGAAGTGACGATGACTGATACGATTATTTAATCGGAAATGTAATAAACGTGACAAGTGTAAAAAGAATTTTAAAGAATTCCAAAACGGTGAGATAAATATTTCCTAAAATAACAAAAATCGATTATGAAATTAATTATCATCAAGTTAGTCATTTTAGTGTGAATTTCGCAATATTTTACATAATTTTGAAAACTAATATTAAAATAAATTAAATTAACAGATATTTAACATATTCAGACGTACATACAATACTTTCACAGTTTTTCTCAATTACTAAACATTTAATCTGTTAATTTCCCAACTAGATAATAAACTTTTATGTAGCATTACTAATACGATACTCCATTAAATAAAACTGCATTTAAAAATCATAACAATTTTCTGTTTATATTCATAAATTATGTTCAAAAGTACCAAGTATTTTTTATCAAATTATACAAGTACCTAATAACTAAACTAGTTTTATTCGCTGTGATCCACTTAAACTTTCTTTTTCAAATACTATAAATCATACTTGGCAAACCTTGCATCTCAAACATCAAAAGAAATACGCAATAGAATCATGTACAACTTTAAATGCATCAAATTAAAAATTATCTGTAAAAAACTGTCTACTAATATGCAAGGAAAGATAAGATCTATATCAACGAACCATAAAAAGTGTATCAAGGCATCCAGTTGAAAAGCGAACCACATAGCTAGGAAAAATATGCAACGCGATTGTCGCTGCTCCTAATTATTCCTACAACACTTCATAATATCTATAAAATACTACTAAAAAAATTGAAAACACTTTAGACTATAAATATAATACTATGTAACTGGTTTAAATTTTGCTGTAGCAAAATAAAAAAATTGAATACAACGAATGTTTCAAAAAAATGGAAATAATAAATAATCTTACACAAATTTATCCGACAGAAAACTAATAAATTGAACATGTAATCGTAACAGCGAACGAATTGTTATATAATTCCAGCTAGGTGGCTCAAAGTAAAGCGGAAGCGGGATCAAACGATCAACAACCGATCATGAATACTGTAGTAAAATTTGAAATAGAGTAAGCATGAAATGCAACGGGGTAAAGACATACCGGAAATCAGGGGAAAGCTGAAATCCACTGCCAGGTTGAAGAGGACTATCTGGGAAGAGATCCAGCCCCTCGTTGACGCTTTTACTAGGGCTGGGTGTAGCGTCAGCTTGCAACTTGCCGTTTCGTAGCGCCTCGATATTCTTCTTCACTCTGCCACGTCCTTTCTCAAATTTGCTGCCCTCCATAGTTATTGCCCTGTGAAATATGAAAAAGGGTGAATGGTAGCGTGCAACCGCACAAGCAAAACGAATCTTCGCGAAGAGGACAACAACTTACCTTCTACGTGACGATTTCCCAGGTTTTGCGTCATGATTGATCATCCACCATGAACTCTTCCCGGTACCTTCGTTCTGTACTCGCATGAATTTGCTGTGTAAGGATAAATTGTGTCGGATGGAGTTCTGCGAACAAAAAGAACGAACTGATTAAAATGCAATTCTACATGCCTAATGATGAACATACTCTCACAGTCAACATATATCCTACCCCATACAGTGTTTCGATTATACGAATTTCAGGAAGAAAAATCGTAACTTAGCATCTCTTAAAAATGTGAAAAATTGCAAAAGTTACCAGAAATTCAGCTCCAAATACCTAATAATATTAACCCTTTTGCAACGAATGCAGGGTCATTTTAACTCAACAGTGATAAAATCAGGTGCACTCAGATTACGTTTGGTACAAGAAATACACCTATTTTATATATCAAATGTAAATAAACAAGAAAAATATAAAATATATACTGTTGAAAGTATACACATTTATACACAATTCCTTCTTGAAACCCGTGTACAATAGAAATTTTGCTATGAGTCAAAATGGGTCTAAAACCATTCGCCTTTTGAGGGTTAAACCAATATTTGAAACAGAAAAAAATCTCAAGAAAGCAATCAAACTTATCCGTACGATAATCCTTTATTGTAGAATAATCGCAAATTACGTATGGTCGCTGATAACCAGGATCCTGATGCGACCTTATATTAAAAAGAGAACCTTTCGGATAAGTAAAAAAGCTCATAAATTTCGTTTCCATTGCGAATCTCTAACACGAACGCGTAACATTTGAAGAATCTTCACTGATACACTCCAACGGAATAAATCCAAGAGGCAGAATTAAGAGACATTCGCCGAAATCTTTCTGCGTCGTTTTTACAACAACTTTATAATTTCAATTTGGCGAAAATTTACGAGCACCCGGTAGCTCTACCACCCCTTGCCCGTTCTTCCCGTCGTTTTGCTATCGATATCTCGATATCAGTTTCTTTTACTGTCGCGCGTAACGCTACGACCGGTCGGCCGAACTCCGACGAACACGGGTGATTGCATTGTCAGAGTCGTTTTATACCATGTACAAAATCGATTCGAAGAGTGAGTCATGAGAGCCACGTTTTATTGTGTTCCGTAGATAGAAACGTTCCTCCCGGGCTTGTTCATTAGGCAAATTGAATCGACGTAGTCACCAGGGCCCTTCTTCTTCCTTCCAAAAATTTCGGAAAGCTTCTACCCTAATATGAAAGTAGCGTCGAGAAGCGATAACAATTTCCTTTCGTCTTCGTCTCATAGCACTATCTCCGCGTGCGCACGCGTGTATGCACACACAGCAGCTGGGGAAACCTTTTACGTAAAGAGCGAGCGGTACGATACCGCGGTAAATAAAAATTACTTTTGCAAAATTGATGCTTCCTTGTGTGCCTTGTTCGAGGCACGATCGCCGGACCGTTCCACCGGGAACTTCTCGAAATTACAAAAATCTTCTTCTATTAACATTGTAGCATCGCGTAGATGGCCTAGAAAAAGGGTACCTATTGTAGCGTTGACCCAGGCGTGTTTAGGCTAAGAGTTGGGTTTGAAAGGGTACTATACCACCCTGAGTCGTCTAAAAATGTATAAAGTTAGGGAACTTTTTTCGTAGGTAACTACTCAATGAAAAGTTTAGATTTTGTCAGAAGATATAAGCGTAACTTTCAGCTTATTTATTCAATTTTCAAAAAGGAAAAATGTTATCAAGTGCAGGAGTTATTGCGAAATCTCTTCTGCTACAACATCAATTGCTGGCAAGCATTGGAAAGTCTGAAATAAGTTCTTTTTCATTTAAAAGTATAAATGTATTACCTATAATTTGATATACGATTTTTTCAATATGACTACTATTTAATATCTTAGAAACGTTTAAAGTTAATTTGTATGTTAGTAAAAAGATGTTCCTCTTATTCAAACTGCAACCATTTCTATAACAGTTAGAATTTTTGAAAAATAGCACGCTATGTTGTAAGCAATACACTTTTATTTATGAATTAAACAGAATTTTTTATTGCAGAAATTTCAATCCTTGCCAGCGATGGCGACCAACAATCGATGTTCTAGCAGAGGAAATTTCGCAATAACTTCTCCATTTTGTAACATCATAACTTCTTAAAAATTGAAGAAAAAAGCCGAAAGTTACACTTATATCTTCTGAAAAAATTGGAACTTTTCATTTAGCAATTACCTTATGAAAAAAATTCCCAAACTTTCCTTTTCTTCTTAAACACATCAGGGTGGTGTACCCATTTCAGCTATATCTGTTTAGTTTGAAGAAACTACGGGTGTGTGTCTGTATGCGTGAATAACATGTGCGAAAATGCTTTATTTTTCGTATTTTGAGTGTGTGTTCTTTTTTTTCCCTACTATCATTACACCTATTTATATTTCAGAACTAAAGTGCGTCAACATCCTGATTAATTACCAAATCCCACACTATTGTTTCACGAGGATGGTCCGTATCAATTGCAAATTTTATTCCATGCGACTTGCGGCAGAAAAACTTATTGACACCGTGATCGAGACGATTCGATACTTCTCCGAAAAACGAGGATACTTGTATAGCAAAAATTTGCACGACTTAACCCTTTCATTACTGTTGGCGCTTATACGCGCTTTGAAAATTTGCCCACACTGTACTATCTGAGGCTTCTGGCACACTTCCATCATAATTTAATTTTTAAAAACTTTTAAATACGGCCCTTAAGTTAATGAAAGAAAATTTTAAATAAGGCCGAAACAAAAGATTTTGCGCCCGTGTTTCAACATTTACTGTCTGCCATGCTCGTCGCGTACTAAAATCTGACGCAGTGAAAGGGTTAATTTAATATATTTGATGTAAGTATCGAATTGCAAGTGGATCGAATTACAAATTACAGGTAAGTAAATTACGTGTATTTGTATATTTGAAATAATGAATAAAATAATGTTAAATAATTGTAATTAATAAACGCATTTATTGTTGTTAACATAGTTGCATGTATATGTTGCAAATAAATGCTTGTCGTATTTTGTAGTTCATTGTACTTTGTATTAAACTTTATACATATAATAATTCAGTTACATTTAAAGCACTATGTATGATGGTCTAAAGTAAATTTATACGCTAATATTTTTACGAACGCAACAGATTAAAATTTTCTTTTTTATGTAACGTTATGTTTTTTTATGTAACTCTATTCTTCGACATTTTTGTTTGCAATATAATTCTACGTCACTACATTAGAGTTTTTCTTTTTTTTAGAAAAATTCAAAACTGAAAATAAACATGTACGTTACATTACAACGGTGAAATATATTGAAAGTCTGCATTACCTTGTGTAAACGAAATTACCGTAGTTTTTGTCAGATTCATGACAGTAATTAGAATTGTTGAATACGTATATTCTATCATTTTGTCCACTAATATCCATTTACCTGATTTCAAGATTCTGAAATTCAAAGTGTCAATTAATTCGTACGTGAAGAATCAAAGTGGTAAGATAAACGAAATACGCATTGAAGTTTTCAAAAAATAAAATCATCCAAACGATTGTATAGAAATTACAGTATACGATGATAGTTGCGTATATACACGGAAGCTACACAAAAATTAGACTTAATCGACGGAATGAAATTCTTCTGCTATGTAGCTTTTAATAATATATTAAGTATAACAGACCATTTATTCGCAATTAACGAATAATTCCTCTCCTTTGTAACATATTTTCTTTTTAAAATGTGGAAAAAAAGCTGAAAGTTACATTTACATTCTCTGAAAAAATTGAAGCTTTTCATTTAGTACTTATCTCTAGAAAAAAATTCCCAAACTTCACGTAGTTTTAGACGTCTCAAGGTGGTGTACCCTCTTAATATCGTGGCTACCATGGGTCAGCTACCGATAAAAACGAACTACTTTCGAAAATGTTACAACGATGGATTATCTTCAACCTTTGTGGTTGACTGATCAGATTTGAAACTTTAGAACCAATAAAGAAATGAATTGAATTCTCAATTGTTACATACAGATTGCTTGTCGCAATTAATTTTTAAAGCATGAAGAAAATAGAAATAATAATTCATAAAGGAGTAGCGTGATTAGCACTATGTTTAATTATTATGCTGTGAAAACAAATTATTTTCAGTTCATTTATTATTATTTATTTATTTTCAAATAACGATGTTTTATAACTATTTTTGAATTTAACGACACTTGATGGACAATATATAACTTGCTGTATAGCAACGAAAATATTATTTAACACAATGTTATATAAAAATTTTTCTTTCTTTTTCTAACAAGTTTCGTAACTTTGCTACATAACGTGTTTTATGCTATACAGTATAGACGCAACTTTAGGTGGTTAAACAAATGATTACGGTTCGCAGCTATTGTTTCAACGTTGCAAGCGATGAAACGGTCCCATTTCTTTTTCCTGAAAAATGTTTAACACCACAGCCGTGGCGTATGTGGAATGCACGACTTTTGATTGTCCGCAAACCGCAGCTTTAGTGTCCACATCCTCCCCATAAAGAAGAGTTTTAGAAGGACGATGTCTACTGTGACAAGACAAAAGCCACATCCTCGGTAATAAAAATAAGCCTCACTTCCTTCCGTTCTTGTTACGCAACAATTTGACAAAATTTCTATTAATATCAGTATGTTCTAGCAGTTTCCTTCCCGTACAATTTAATGTGGATATTTCGTATTTATTTTATTTCTGTTCTTCAATTTAAATTAGAAGAGGTGAGAGTTACCTAACACTAGAACCCGAAATATCTTTGAAACTCGGTTGTAGTGAAAAATGTTTCAGATAAAAATTGAATGGTATTATTGGGGACATAATTTGATTAGAATATCGAAGATTTTCGTATTTATTTTATTTTTGTTCTTCAATTAAAATTAAAAGAGGTGAGAGTCACCTAAGGCTAAAACTCGAAATATCTTTGAAACTGTCGGTGTAGTGAAAAATGTTTCAGATAAAAGTTGAATGGTATTATTGAAAGGGATAATTAGAATATCAAAGATTGTTTTTCTTTCTAGAAAATGACGAGTTGAATCGATTAATGCATTAAAAAATATACGATACCATTTAAGAAAACAAATTTGAGATTTATGTCT